ATACCTGATGGAACATCCACTGAACAAAGAGGAATTTCAATATCTTTAAATGTTTTCAGGACATCATCAAATGGTGCACGGACACTTCCTTTAAAACTAAACCCAAAAATAGCATCAACAACTAGTTTGTAGTTGTTTGTGATGTCATGCGATGAYGGCAGAGTGTCAAGAAAAGGAATGTCCATMTTTTGGCATTGTGTTACTAGATTATTCATCAATGGCTTGTTGGGTCTTTTTGGATAGAAAATGAATGGCTGAAAACCCTAGAATGGGAAATGGGATATACATATATTAGGAATAAAAAAAATAATGGTAAGCTATACACCTAATGAAGTGATTAATTAATAGATATAGAAAGGGATAAATAAATGAACAAGTGAAAAAATGTGTGAATGAAAGAATGGATGGAAAAATTGAAAATGGTGGGTTAAATGTATGTAACTGCATGTACAGACTTTACCCAACAGTTGTTGCTGGGAGAAGCAACTAGGTACCAGTCTGATATAAACTAACAAATGACTGGGAAAATGGATGAATTATCAAATGGGAATGATTGAATGGTCGATAGCATTGATTATATTTATCAATTAATCAATCAATCAATGCATTTAATAAACTTACAAACATTTTCAGATGTCTCGCTGCAACTAAACCATCACCACCATTGTTCCCCGGTCCACTTGCAACCAATACTTTGTTATTTTCGCTGTCTTTTGAAGGATAGCTCTTTGCTAATGCAACGGCTACTGATAGCCCCGCCAGCTCCATCAACTGATCCACGCTGAAAGCATATTCGTTGAACAACTCTAGGTCGATATTTTGAGCCTCTGTTTGATTTAAGTACTTCATAATAATCCTTGAACTGGAGAAGAGTCTAAAAGACGACGGAAACGTGGAGAATTTCGGAATAGAACGCAAGAAAACAAACATAAGCACTGAAAAAACAACAACAACAGCACAGCTCTTTAACATTACAACACAGGGAACCCAATCGAATATGCTCAGCGGTTTTACCTAAATGTCATGCTCAAACTAAAAATAACAAATACGGATGAAAAWTTGGGTAAAATGATTCCATTTTAAATAATAATTTTATTATAGAAGTCAAACAGTACTAGTTATGTGGACTAGACCAGAAGAAGTGTTACTAGCTAATGCCTTATGGTGAGAATTTTGGAAGAAATCAGCTGAGTTTTGATGGACTTTTTAAGAAGTTTAAATACAWGTTGTTCGCGAAGTCGACACAGTTGATCCCAACTTTTGTGTCTTGTAGGGCAACGGAAAGAGCGAATCCATACTTTGTACTTCAACGAAGGAAAGGCCATGGTGGTGGAGGATTGACATCGTTGTTAATAGGAACTTTGGACAATGTTCTTGATTCTAAAGTAAGAATTGCTCTTTTGAAGTTAAAACCATTGTTATCGAGAATTTCATGTCTTATAAGCTTAATCTAATGCAGGAGAGGAGAATTCATTGTTAATTTTCAATATATTTTAATTATACTATTATCGATAGATTGTGTGTCACTTTGAAAGTTAAAGTTTTACATAGTTCTTTCTAAAGTAGTCAAATTTTCAAGATCCAGACGCTCTTTCGATCTGTTTACAGTATAAAAACACAAACTTGCCTCTATTTGCGTGACTACAGGCAGATAGACATAAAAATACTGTTTTTGCACAAATGCTAGCTTCCAAGTCGCCATTGATATTGAAGTTATATTTTTCATGTAGATTTTAACTTATGATTTCAAAAAAAAACTTATGATTTCAGTTTTAATACATGTATTGAGGTTTCTTCTCGGTTGAGTTTTATGAGATTAACATGGATAATTTGTTTATGTTTCAGCCTTTACCATTTCGTATTCTTCTTCAGCTACCAAACTCAGATGTTAGCTACGGTAAAAACCTATAAAAGTAGATTTAAATATACATTCCTGACTCATTTTTTGTACTAATTTATTATGTACAATGAAGAGAAATTTTGTTTTGTTTTGTTTTTTTGAATTCGTAAATTATTTCATTTTCATTACAATTATCTTTTTTTTTCGTKTTTGCTATTTGTAATAAGAATAATTTAATAGCTTATAWAGCACRTTCTTTATGGCTGAATTTGTGTATTTTAGTTATTTCCCATGGCTCCTCATTTAAAGAAATTGAATCAGACTGGGACTGGTTGACAAAATATCTTATTGAGACATTAGGTGAGTGGRTCGCTTTGTTTCTAATAATTGGTGGCAATTAATGGTAGTCCCCCAGTCCTRTGCTTTSCATTACAYTGTWTAGTTCAGTGTCAGCAGKCTCCCCTGACTTGCAGGCKGTTATTTAATTAACCAAGTGCTCACATGAGTGACACCTGTCCATTATAGGCTCTTGTTTTAATCATCATTATTTTTATTTAATTAAAGCCCTTTGGTTTTATTCTTATTCCTTACTAGCACAGTTACCATATCATTCTAGATACTTAGGGCAATCAGCAATAACTTTTGGTTAACACTCTTAAATTATGTRAAGAATTTTGCTGGCCAAGATGGCCATTAACAGATGGCCTCTCGGCGTCTGAGGTTTTAATCATTGCTACCATTTTCTTGCTAATGATACACTGTATGATATCAGAGCATATGAACACTTGCTGTACGATCAGATATTTTAGTTTATTTGATAAATAGGATATCCAGTTTATCCCAGGTTATAAATCTCACAAAAGGAATCCTTTTTCMTCAGAAAATATTGATAGTGAAGATGATATAAGAGATTTTGTKCGAGCAAAGATTGAGAGCCTGGTATGCAATGTTGAAGCTGACTGTGAGCAGACTTTTGTCCAAGGTWTGTTTACTTAACACTCACCAACCCACTCACTCCACTCACTCACTCAACCCACTCACTACTCACTGTYAATAGCCACCCACCTGTTAAGTTGTGGTACTTCTTCATTCATAAAACTGCAAGAAACCCAAWAATCTTGTGAAAATCTTGTTAAAATTGCTATTTATATCAATGTTTTTTTAAACCGCTCCAGATACTGAAACAGCAAAGTTCAAATCTGCAACAAAGAGATTTCACAGGCTGTTTAAACTTCAAGAGAATGAAAAGCTTGTGAATTGTGAGTAAAAATTTAATAATATAAATAATAAATGAAAGAAAAAGATACATGTACTTAAAAAACATTTTTATTGTTCTAAAACACAGATTATTCATGTAGCTACTGGAAGGGGCGTGTTCCTCGGCAAGGCTGGTTATACTTGTCTGTCAATCATGTYTGTTTTTACTCATTTCTTATGGGGAAAGAAGCAAGATTAGTCATACAGTGGACAGATGTCACTGTAAGTGATGATTGTTGATGAACCTTTACTTCCCTGATATAGTATTTACATATCCAACTTCCTTTCTCCTCAATTTCCTTTTTCCTCTTAATTTCATCCTTGTCCTTTCCTATGTCATACAAGTGCAGTTATGATCTGTTTTTCTTTTGGCTTTTAGTCTCTTGAGAGAACAAATAGCGTACTGTTAGCTGATGGTATCAAAGTGACAACAAGAGACGGAGAGGTGATTTCTTATCTCACAATTAAATATCCTGTTTTCCAAAAAATATAGTTTCAACTATTAACTGTTAAAAAGTGTTTTTAACCAGTATACAATGTACTTGAAGAACACATGTCAATCAAAATTAAAATGTTAATGTCCTGTTTGGACTCCCCCTTTGCTTATTCCTATTCCCAACTAGTGGAATAAATATCATTAAATGGTATCTATTTTATGTRAATTTTGCAGTTTTGCTTTTCACTGTTGATGCATCCATCAGAGACATTTGGACTCATGGAACAATTGGCAAATCTTGCTATGAGACAGTAAGCAAAAATAAAAAATGTTAAAATATTTTGGTAGGAAATTTTGTGTGTAGTGTTTGACCATGTATGATTTCTTGAATAAATGGTAGTCGCTTTTTTTATAAGAATTTTCAAAAGACATGCATTTTAGCCGTATCTACCACCTTAATTCAATTAATAACTTTAACGATGAAATTATATATATAATATCAAAGAGGCAAGATTTTGCTGTTACTCCGAGTTTCGTGCTACGCACTCATCAGACAGTATTTAATGATAAACATTCCTATAATCTAGATATATATACATGGTATAGAACAAAAGGCCATATATATATATATACCATGTATACAGCCTTTTGCACAAATTATGAGACATTTCTATATATATAAATATACCTAACCAAATATCAAAAACACCCAAGAAATTATGGGATACCGTCGCTGATATTTTGTCTGTAACAACCTGATGCTAGGCAATCATGACAAAATATCAGCGACGGTATCCCATAATTTCTTGGGTGTTTTTGATATTTGGTTAGGTATATTTATATATATAAAAAATTCTCATAATTTGTGCAAAAGGCTGTATATCTAGATTATAGGAATGTTTATCATTAAATACTGTCTGATGAGTGCGTAGCACGAAACTCAGAGTAACAGCAAAATCTTGCCTCTTTGATATTATATATATAACTAGCTCTACACTTTATGTGTATTGAGCACTCTTTAATGGGATCAGCTACTTCCTCATACAATTAACGATGAAATTATAAAAGAAAGTGTATCCCATTCTGTCAATAATAGAAAGAGTTTAGTAACTACTTCACAATGGCTTGTTTGCTTTGTTTTGTAGTTTATTACTGAATGAAGGTTACGAAGAGTCTGTTGCCTTGCCAACACTCACCAGGTATGTTGTATTGACACTACAANTAAATCATAGTCAAATCATAGTCATTGCACTGCAATTTGCCGCATAATTTGATGTTAAAATACCGCATAATTTTCTCTTTTTTTGCCGCACTATCAGATAGCCTGCGTTGTCATATTTACCTTTTTTCGTGATTTGACAGATCGCTGCCTGAACATCCTGCTTTTCAGTCAGATGTTGGGATTGGTGCATTAAGACGAGTTCTTACAGCATATGCATGGAGGAACCCTAGTATAGGTAATGATAACACACATCTGTCGCTGATGGATTGATTAGTTGAATGATTTGTTGCATTTGGCAATGTATCGTTGATTGACATGACAGAGCAATCGATTGAGTAACTTATTGTTTGATTGATTGATTGATTGATTGATTGATTGATTGATTGATTGATTGCACAAGTCGGTGACTATAGTACGTGAAAATGTCTGTAAAGTCCGCACAAGTCGGTGATCATTTAAGTGAAACGGAGTCCGCACAAGTCGGTGATCATCTCTTTCAAGTTGTTTGTTACGTCCGCATAAAAATGTCCCAAAAACTTGAAAATTCCCTTTCGGTCAATTTCAAGGTGTCTAATAATACAGGATTGAATCCTGAGTCCATCAAAGGCTTAATCATTTTAAAATCATTTTGAAAACCTTATGTCCCCACAACTATGGTTAGGACCAAAGTCCGCATAAGTCGGTGAACTTTTGTATGGTTGATATTAAAGGACTGACTGATAAATTGCTTCATTGACTACAGTAACTAATTGATTCATTGATTGATTCATTCATTCATTGATTCATTGATTGACTGATGTCTTACCTGCCTCATCACTACAGGGTACTGTCAAGCTATGAACATTGTTGCATCTGTTCTACTGCTGTACTGTACGGAAGAGCAAGCCTTTTGGCTGCTCGTTGCTGTCTGTGAACGACTTCTACCAGACTACTACAACACAAAGGTGGTAGGAGCTCTCGTAGATCAAGGTTGGTAAAGACTTACAATATACACTTAATGACTGTTCCCAAGGGAAACGGTTGGTTTTGTTTCCCGAGAATCTCAATGTTTCCCGAACAATACTAGTTATTTCTACCACGTGTATGCTGTGAATTCCCTTGCGGTCATTGACTGGTAGCAGGATCGTAAATGATAAGGCTTCATACAGGCTTATGTTTTTCGTAGCATTGTTACTGTATATTGTCCTTCATTTCTAGAAAGACAATTTTGAATGTTTTTCGTACTGTTTCTGGAGAAAATGAAAACGGAACAGAAACGTATCAGGTTTAAATGTGTCTTAAAGGCCCACGTTTACCCAAGAACCTTTGCGATCGTTTCTTTTGTTTCACAAATGATTCCTTCTTAAGAGGAGCTCTCTGATTGGTTCAAAATCAAAGGCGAATTTTTGTATGTGAAGAAATCGCGCAATGGATCTTGGATGCATATGGATGTTTGACTCATTAAGTTCGTTGTATGTACAATTCTTTAGGTGTATTTGAGGATCTAACAAGACTTCATCTACCAGAGCTTTACGATCACTTAAAGGACCTTGGGATACTGAACATGATCTCCTTATCGTGGTTTCTGACCCTTTTTCTCAGGTATTATCACATTCTTTTCTTTTCAGAATAATTGAAGACTATTGTTCGTTTTCAACCATTCTCATATATGAGATTCAAAATATAAACGACCGACGGCCATTTTGGAGGAACGAACAATAGATACTAATGAGAAATCTTTTGTTGAAGTTCCTCCAAGATGGCCGATGTGACGTAACTGGAAAACGAAGAATTAATGTAAACATTTGTGATTAAAACATSACCATATTTGTGTATGAACCGAGGGATAGCCTTCGGAATCGTATTTGAACCGACGACCTTCCGAACTTGTTCCGAACTTCGAACTTCCGAACTTCCGACAACTCTCCGGATTGTACCAGTGACACCCCCGACGTTCCGACGACTTTCCGAAAGCTGTCTGAAACCATCGCCATTTTTTCTCAACCAGTATTCATTGCACATCTTCCATTTAATATCAAGTTTGAAGTTTTTTGAATTTTTTTTATTTCCAGTGTTATGCCGTTTGCCTCAGCTGTCAACATTATGGACTGTTTCTTTTATGACGGAGTTAAGGTTAGTGGGTGAATCGTCAACACTAGAAACCTCTGACTCAATAGACCTTTGAGACGTTTGCGTCATATACCGTATTTGCAATGCATTGTATGGTCTTGTATKTTTGGGACAAAACATGGCGAATTTCTTTAGTTTTCTTCAGAAACTGATCCCAMAATTCATTGCAAATCAAGTAGTGACGTAAAAGCTACAGGATATACGATAAATGTACTTATTTTTCGCATTCAGGTTTTATTTCAAATCGCCCTGGCAACGCTTGAAGCAAACAAAACGCAACTCCTAGCCGTGGAGGATGACGGGGAGGCTATGACTATATTAGGAGCATACCTTGACCACGTGACAAATAGAGACGCTAGTTCCCAGTGCCTTACAATGACTGTAAATAACCGAAGCATTGGAGTACCGTCCACAGAGGTCAGTTGTCGTACCATATTTTGTACATGCGCTTATGCGAGACGATATACACTGGCATGCTGGAAAACATGAAGTAGATTCTGTACTCATACTCCCTTTCATTAAGCATTATGTCTGTTCACTCTGACAACCTCTTTGAAATGGTTGTACTAATGGCCTTGGTTTATAATCTTTGTGTCGTCTTGTTTTTGCCTTAGTATTCATCCTCTGTCGACGTATCTAATCTAATCCTTGAGTCCTATCAAAAGTTTGGCTTCATTACATCTGAGCACATTGAGTCAATGAGGAACATCCAAAGACTGAAGGTTGTCCAGGTAAGTTTTGTGACTATTACTCTCAAAGGTTGACTAGATAATAAAGCTTAATGCCACGTGGAAAAGGGCTTCAATTTATCTCTCTCGTCGTTTCCTTGCTGTAATTTGTAGAGGTCGTATTTTTCYATTTCCAGGGGCTTGAGGATAGCATGAGACGAAATGTTGTAAGGACAATCGGAGCTGAAAGCTCCATCTTCAATCAGAAAGAACTGGAACAGATGTACGCTGTATTTAAAGTAAGTTAGACCTTGTATCAAATAATCTCTTCCTCTAACGAAGAAATAGTCTTCTTCATGATTCCCTGCGCCATCTTGAAAGGTAGCCGTGCCTTTGCATTGAAGCTAGACAACCGTTGAGCGTGCAGTGATAGAAACCTTCTTTCACACCTACAGACAATTATTCACTATATTATAAAGTTAAGGCTCAGTCGTACGTTTTAATCTCMTTTTTTCTCCATTATTGTAGGTGAGTCATTTGCAAACACGTGGTCGGGTCCCAAGCCTCGAGACACGTGATTCCAGTCAACAATGGCAACATTTACAATGTATTGATCTAGAGGGATTTAAACCATTCTTCGTCAGCTTGACAGACTGGGGAAATTGCGAGATATGTGATTTATTATCTCTAAGAGCTTTTAAGGTAAAGTATGACAGGTTTTTTTTTCTGGTAGATTTGTTGGTGGGTTGTCGGGTTGTTTAGTTGTTTTGCTAGTTGGTTAAATGGTTGGTAGGCTACAATCTTGGACATAAATAATTGACAATTTTTCGCTTCGGCGTTACAAATACTGTATCGTGTGCATAAACTGAAAATATTCCCCTTCCCTCCCTCCCCTCTCGCATCAATGTTGCATGCAGGGGTTAATGAATGGACAACCAATGAAAAGAAAGCCACACAACATTGTATTGGGGGAAGGGGGGGGGCACGAGTAAGGTTTTATCGACGAAGAATGTTAGAAATTTCGTGCGTGCGTAAAAATTGTCAACATTTATGTCCAAGATTGTAGCTGTAGGTCGGCTAGTTAGTTTGTTTTGTGGTAGTTCTATTTTTGGTGGTTTGCCAGTCATTCATTTAGTCTGTAMTGGTTTGAAAAGTTTGTGTAAGTTCCATAGTTAAGGTCGATTGTTAGAGGGTCTTGGTTTCACTGTTTCTCTCAATAAACATGTCCACCCACAGGTGATCACACAAGGCAAAAGTGACTTCATTACTTTCAAACAACTCGTCGACACGCTGGGAAAAATCTGCAAAGGCGACCTTCACGACAGGCTGAAGTTCATGTATAGCATGCACGTTGAGCCCGCGATCACCGACAGTTTAGAATCATACTGTGAAACAGGCATAGAAATCGAGGAGGGAAAGACCGAAACATCCAGCGCCGAACAAACTGAAGCATGTTGTGATAATCAAAATAAGGAGACGCCATTAAGCTCGAGTGCCAAGAGTAACGACAGYAAGATACAAGAAATCTTGCAGCAAAATGATGACACAGTCCATCCGCCACCACTGATGACCCAGGTAGGTTGGRAACGAGTTTCCTTTTGTGATAAATATTGATATCTAGACTTCACATCATTTCTTTGAACAATCCATTAAAAAGCCTCATCCCCTCTTAACTTATTTGCATGTAATCATTTACGTACATTTTTACCAGCAGACAGTCATATTGAATTCTATATCATAAATTATGGGATGTCCCCGGGCATCCCATAATATGTTTTTGCACAATGGAATGTCTGGAATTAATGTAAAAAATGTTATTGTTTTTATATTTTTCCAGGAACAGTTTATTCATCTATGGAAGACAATGTATTCACTATTTCGTGAATTGCCGAACGAGCAACAAATGTACCAAGCCATMGCYACTGTAGGCAACATTTTATTAAAACTAGGCGAATTCGGAACCGAATACGGTACATCCTCACCTTTTGAAATCCCCGAAGACAACATAGCTAATAGCTTAGATTCCGAGAAATCTTCGGAAACTCCGAACCTACCCGAAGGCGTGACGACGTCTTCCGACCTGGYATCGTCGGCCTTGTTAAAAGACGTTTTGGCCGATGCTGCGCGAAGTAGTGAATCGTCGTTGAGTAGCCCAGTACGAAGTACTTCGGGAGAAGACTTTGTGATAGTACCGAGCGACGATGGCTTCAGCAGCCCAGAACAACTTGACTTTGACAAGAATGGTGTCATGGAGAACTTGTCRAGTGTATACATAAAGTTACAAAATACTGAACTGACTTCACCAAAYTTGAGTGTCACTGACGAGAACCCTGAAGAACAATGCAACGAGCAAAGGACCCCAACRCAWGAAGAACCGGAAGTAGATTTTGATAATGACGTCATTGAGAGACCTTCTTCCGGTATGCTGGACACTGATTGGTCGATATCTTACGAGCAGTTTTTGGCATCAATGCTGACAGAGCCCTATCTTGTACATTATTTTGAACAACAGATCGATGTACTAGAACGGTTAAAGCGCTTAAAGACTGAGGGACTAACGAGTTTTAAGAGCTCTTTGAATTTATTAGAAGGGGAGTAGAAAATGTGCAGCAATATTGACTTTGGTTTTTTTTTTTTTGGTTATTTTGCTTTATTTCATGGGGTAAACGCTATTAAATTTACACACTAAAACCAGTTTGAAAACTAGTTTAAAAACAGATTATCGC